CTTGTGGGGACCTAAATCTGTTTACACAGTGCGAGGACTCGCCTCCCTTATGGGGACAAATTGGAGGTCCCCATGAGGGGATGTATACATGGTGTGTGTGTGTGTGTGTGTGTGTGTGTGTGTGTGTGTGTGTGTGTGTGTGTGTGTGTGTGTGTGTGTGTGTGTGTGTGTGTGTGTGTGTGTGTGTGTGTGAAAATGGGTGTAGTCCATCAATACTCTAGCTCTAATGTCTCGATGATATCATTTCCCGTATTGGTGTATTCATTATTTCTGCAGGATGATTTCATGCTCGTTGACTGTGTGTGATTTGCAGCAGATGTACACATTTCCCTGTCGGCCATTCAAACATCTCTGTTTTTACTCTTATAATGCAAGAAGGAAACAATGTACTCTACATTTCTTAAAATACTGCCTGAAGCGGTCAACGGGAAGCAGAAGAAGTGAGACAACAAAGTCTGTACATGTTAGATCATCTTTCTAAGTGACGGAGTGACAGACATTTAGAGCAGCCAGGAGTGATGTCTGAATGTTCATATTTCATTTTGAAAACTTCTCAATCTGCTGAGCATCATTTAAGCAGAGTGGCACCAAAAGGAAAGACGTTTTTTATCCGGCTGTACTTTGAATCTGATAACAGTTACTCATTAAATCATACATTTTATTGAGTGCACATATTTGGGACCTGAGTTGGGATTTTACCAAGTACATTTCCGCAAGTAACGTACAATTTTGAGGTACTTATTCTTCGGTTGAGTACTTTGATTTTGTATTTCAATATCTTCGCATTGTGAAAGCCGTTGAATGAGTATATACTCTTCACTCTACTTAATGGAGCTAATTTTCAGGCAAAAAAAACAATGATGCGAGAAAAGAAAAAAAGAGACCAAATACGCAATAAACAGTTAAAGATGAATTTAACTGATTATAACGGAAGTATTTTAAAATGTTCTGTATATATTTGGCTGAATTTATAGCATTTTTGTAAATTCTTCGGCCAAGATATCCGTGTAGACCACATCTAAAATTGGGACAGCCCTAATACATACATTAAAGACATGGTCATGGTTAAAGGATTAACAAATAGTTCAGACAATTTTCAGTTAATGTCATTATAATGTCAAGTAATTTATTTTGCAAAAACTAGCAGATATTAACTTGTTTTTGCAAATAAACTTTATTGACAGTCTCTTCTCCATCAAACCTTTCTCGTAGCACTCATTTGGGATCTGTTGAACTAATATGTCCGCCATCCCAGATTAATCTGATTGTCGGGAACTACGTGATCCTAATCTCATTTGTAACATCCTCCCACCTGGATCTGCTGCAGGCCAACATCAGCATACGTACTGATCAGTGTGTGTCCACAGGCCTGACCCCAGCTGCTGTGTGTGTGTGTGTGTGCGTGTGTGTGTGTGTGTGTTTGTGTGTTTTTTTGTGGGTGGGTGTAATATACAGTACGTGTGTTTGTGTGGGTTTACACTTCAAATCCTTTTAACCGGTGTTATGTGATTTGGGAGATAAGATCATCTGGTATTGTTCCTTTTTATACTAGTCATCTTTTACGCGTACCCCTGGGAAATTACGA